CTCCCTCCCTCCCCCCCCCCCTCCCTTTTTCTCTCTCTCTCTCTCTCACTCTCTCTCACATAACCGAGGAATTAGAGTCTTGGTTCTATGCAGGCGAGTAACACAACCATCATTTCTGTCCCATGAAGTTTTTTCATGCTTTTTCTGCAGGTTCCAGCATCTGTACGAGTCAGAAGAGAGTCCGTGCTCCCAAAACCAAAGGCGAAGCCAACGACTGCAGTGCCAACCAATAGGCCACCTGCAGCTGCACCTGTCATGAGGCAAGAATCCAGTAGCTCATCATCTGCACCGAAACCACAGAGTATTGATGACTCCTACATGGCATTTTTGGAGGACATGAAAGCACTTGGTGCCCTTGATGAGTGAACTACTTCATCCAATGGAGAGGTGCAAAAGTAACTACCGGATTGAATACGTGGAAGAAATCGTGTACAGACTATTGTGATGGTTCGAGCACTTCATCTAGGCTCCTATAATTCTTTTTCTCCATTATGCTGATTTCCTTGTTGGCCTAGTCTTTATGATGCTTTGGTTTATCACTACACTTGCATTGCCTCGTTTGGCATAGATGTTTACATTTTGGCCTATTTTGATTATCCTCGTCACATTATCTTATTGGCAAATTAATTTTTTAGCCGGTGAGGGTTATGCGAAGTCTGGAAGAAAGAAAATTGTATCTTAGACTTGACTGACTGAAAATTACATTCAAGTCTTAACTCTTTCTTGTTTGTTTTTCTTTTTTCTTTATTTCTTTATTTCTTGGTTTTCCATACGCATTGTGTTGGTCTTGATGCTCAACAGGTTGTGATCATGTGTCCCTCTTTTGTTCGAAAAAACCTGAAGCTTTGAATGAGAGAGTTACGGTGGGGGGGTGGGAAGCACAACTTAGATGCAGAATAAGATACAGTGATAAATGTGAAAATAAAGAGTAAATCGATGTGATCATTTGCTGGCTTGGGCTGGATCCTTTATTGAACTCCCTCGCAGTTGGAGATAATTCTTGGCCAGCAGGTAATGTTCTTGTAAAATTTTCAGAGATGATTAGAACATACCCAAGAGACACTTTAAATACAAAATGTTCTTATTTAAAGAACTAATGCTTAAAATAAGTTTCAAGTGATGTTTTATTTTGACTTTTTAAAATAGAGAATTGGTTTGGGGTGTTAATTGCAAGTATAGAATTTGTATAGTAAGAAAATAAGTTCTAGAACTTATTACTTATTTGTATGAAAATTGTCAAATAAATGTGTTTGAGAAAGAGAGTAAAGTTAAGTTTTTGGGAAGTGTGAATTGCATGAAAAATGTTTTACCTGCCCCTTTTAAAAATAAATATTTTCCTTGTTTTCAAGTAAAATAGTCACATGACCAACCTTTTAAAAACGTTTTCCATGGAAAAAAAAATGACCCCCCTCGAATGTAGGAATTTGGGTGGGAAAATGATATTTTTCACATAAATCAAAGTCAATCAAACAAACTTAAATGTACAATAATTGCATTTAGCCTTTGTTTGATTTCCATTTTTTTAAAAATACATTTTTCTCTTCACACATTTCAATAAAATAATATTTCACAATCAAAAAAAATTTCCTTCATTTTTACTATACATTATCTATCAATTTACTATTCTAAAATGCATTTTATACTAAAAATGAGTACTAAACATGCCCTTAATAAGTCACAAATTTTAGTAATCTATTTCTTTAACTATTCCAATCAAGTTTAAATTGATTGTACATCGACGTATAGAAAATTATGCTAAATAAAGTATGAGAGAAATCAATTAATATTTTTTTTAGAAATGTAAAATAAAGAGCTAAAATAGATAGCATTATTGGAGTATATAAAAATTTTGACTCTTTGAATTTAAAGATGTAAAGTATCTCTTGGAGATGCTTTTAGAGCATGTTTGAGCCCTATTTTTTTTTTGAGTGATGCTATAAGTACATAACTTTCTACATAATAGTGTACATAATTACACGTGGCATTCATTCAAATCTTTAATTCAAATCTAACATTTACACATCAACGACAGGATGTGTGACACATCACATTGTGTACATTTATTATGTACACTTAGCATTTTCCATTTTTTTTTTTGTCCAAAATCCATTTTGAAATAGTATTTTGATAAGGAATTTGTGGTTAAAAATAAGAAAAAAAATTTAAGTTTGCATGTAATATTATTTTATCAAAAAATGTATGATTGAAAATAAGAAAGAAAAATGTATTTTGAAAACGACGAGGACAAAACAAGAACTTAGTTTCTATACTGTATTTTCCTCTAAAAATTGGAAAATACTTCATTTTTTATTTTGGATTTTACTTGCAAAAATACTTCTTTCCTATCCACCTATCATTCCAAACACCAAGTTTGATTTTAGCAACACGACCCACTGCTGTCGCCACCGGACCCATCACAATCTCGACAATCACAACCCATTGCTATTCATCTTCGCACTGCTCTTACCTCACCAGCTTTCCTCGGACAATCGCCACTCATCCTATTTTGGCATATTCTAACTCGTCATCATGATTTTATAACCCAGCAATGTTTAAGGGTTTCCATCATGATGTGGCAATCTATGTGAAGTAATGAAATTGGGAAATTCAATTTTTATGAAAGAAATGGGAGGAGGGAGAAAGAGAAATGTGAGGAATAATAGATTGTCTCATCACCGATATTCCATCATCATGATAATAAAAAAACATTACTCTTGTTGCTTTTGCAACATTATCTGTTCAACATTCGAATATCTTTATTAACAATATCATGGTATGTTTCGAAAATCAGTTTTTTTCACCGTGGTTCTGAATATTATGAAGCATTTCAATACACTGGATAATATAGTCTATCTCCTCTGAGCTTTGTCAATAGGAATTGCTATGTTGAGGCACAAAACAACTTGCAGCACTCTGTAAATCATTTGATGATTCGATTATTGAACTCTGAAGTGAACAGCCTGCATTGAGATGCTGCAAATGCTCATTTGCAAAGGATGTTCGAGTCATGGAATCTGCATCACATGTTAAGACGTTTGCAACTTCTCCCTGGAACCCANCTGAAGTGAACAGCCTGCATTGAGATGCTGCAAATGCTCATTTGCAAAGGATGTTCGAGTCATGGAATCTGCATCACATGTTAAGACGTTTGCAACTTCTCCCTGGAACCCAAAGGTTTGTCAAGCCTTGTATCTGTAGGGTGACTAGGGTCAATGCTGTGAAAAATCGTCCAAGCTACTGAAACCTCCAATGGAATATACTGATTGTGTAATACCCGGTGAAGAGGGGTTCTGTTGTGAATAAGCACGCCTGTCAATTTTACAAGAACTCTCTGGCAGTAGGTTTGAAGAAGACAGAAGTGGTTGAACACGTTAAGGCATCCATGAGAGGGTTCATCATCAAAAGCCATAACTTTCTCCCAGTCTCTATATGTAGAAATTGCCTGATTACGTGCATCAGCCTGAAACACCGATGACAAGAAAATAAAATTCACTCAGAGCATGTCTTTTGTTTTGAACAGAAAAAGCGAAAATGACATGCCCCCTGGGAAGGAAAACTCAGAAAAAGGGTGAAATACATAAGGAATAAGAGAAGCCTGCCTCTTCTGCTTCAGACAGCTTATCGGGAGGAATGTACAGGCAGCCCAAGAATTGCCCCAGCACTTGTCCTACTACATTGAAAACAATACCATTCTTCTGCTGAGATCCAGAAGCATCTTATAAATACAATTTCTTATCAAGAACGCGTATTCGAGCATGCTCCACTGTAACTTCCCACATTTTAGAAGACATACCTGTCCCAAGAACTGTTAATATTATTTAATACACAAAATGCAAATAATTATCTTCCCCCTATTTTTGGTTTAAGGGCTGCTCCCCTACCTAAAGTTAGATACATGTTCTTATCCCAGAAATAACTAACAGTACAAAATTATAGAGGCTGAGCTTAATTCAAATTTGAATGCAATCGCTCTAACCCTTCCTAAGATCAGGACGTTCTCTGTGATTTAAACCATAGCTATGGATAAATCATAAAGTCATTGTAAGGCCCAGACCACAACACGATATAAGTATTCGCAACAAACAATAACCTCAACAGTAAAGTAAAATTGCAGAAAATTAAAGAATGAACATAAAGATTTGTTTTGGCCATAGCCTCGGAGGTTCGGTGACCGCTTCAAACGCTTACATCTCCCGTTGAGCATCCATAAACAGGAACATGTTCAAATGCACTAAATCAGCCACAAAATGGCAACAAAGGTTACAGAGGGTTCAAGAAAAAAATATGAGACTTATCTCTCAAAGTACATCAACATGATAGCCCACGATTCACTCAAAAAGCACCAAGAACCCCTTCGAACATACACACAGTATTACAGCAGAGAAATCAAATACAACCTCTCAATATTCACACAGAATATTACAATCGAAGGTAGATCTAGCTATTACAATACTCTAGATCAAAGATTTAGAGTGAAAACAGGCATCAAGAATCAAACCTTATCTCTTCCTCACGTTTTCTCTCAGAGAGAAGAAAACTCTAAAAGTCTCTCGAGATTCAATCGACTGAATGCCAAAAATATCTCAAGCCTCAGTATATCAACAGCTACAGTATCCAACGGCCACAGGTGATCCAAGTGTCATCCATCCAAGTGAAGTTGCTTCTCATTTAAGAGAAGCGTTTTTTATAAACATGTTAACATCCAAAATGCTGGAAGCAGAATAAATGGGCCAGGATCCGGCCCAACAATCTCCACCTTGCTACTAGATTTTGAGCCATAAGTGCATCCAGGAACATATACACTAAATATTTCATTCACTCTAAGTAACAAACATCAAGAGGAACCAATAGAAAGGAATTTAAGATAGTTTAAAAATTTGTTTAGAGGTATCACTTTAGTACCCATATCTGAAGGATTATGTTGAGTTGCAATCTTTTCAATCTTTATCATGTCTTTAGAAATGACATCTCTAATGAAATGACATTTAACATCAATATGCTTAGTTCTATCATGAAACGTGGGATTTTTACTAAGATGTATAGCATTTTGATTATCATAAAACAAAGCAATTTGAGCATCAACAAAACCAAGTTCAGATAATAAACTATTTAACCACATTCCTTCCTTTATAGCATCAGTGGCAGAAATATACTCAGCCTCAGTAAAAGACAAAGCAACAATCTTTTGTAATTGAGATTTCCAGCTAATGACAGTACCACATAAGGTATAAAAATAGGATGAAGTTGATTTCCTATGATCTCTATCACAAGCAAGATCAGAATCAGTGTAAACACTAAACCTAAATGAGCAGTACCTTTCAGATACCTTAATAACCATTTTAAAGCATTCCCGTGATTTTCTCCAA